CTGAGAACCCTGACTCGAACAGCTCGCGGCTCACGCGGTTGTCACCCCTTGCACGGATTTCGGCCTCGTGAACCTGGAAAATACGGCTGCGCCCCATCGAATGAGCTGCAACCTGAGAACAAGGGTCCTTCCTCCTCCTCGTCGTCCTCCTCCTCCTCCTCCTCCACCACCACCACCACCTCATCATCATCATCCTCACCGCTGCTGTGTGCTCGGCCAGTAGCATCCGAAGTAATCTCCCGGCCTCGCTGACGTAACTATTTTATCCACATGGAAACACATGACAACACACGCGGCAATTAACGACTTGGGTGCGGACGGCTAAGCTATTATCGCGTCACTTACGGCCCTCCAGCGGTGATCACCAGAGGTGCTAATTGTAGTAGACCTGCGCAGCTAGCACCCTTGTCTGCGATTATGTCTGATGATGAGTTCGGGCGAGAATCTAAAACGCCAGATCAATGTTTGGTAGTTAAATAGGAGCAATTCATTAGTCGGGTCCACGGAGGCTCATCGAAAGAAAGAAAGAACAGTTCACAGTATACAGTCTGTTATTAGGACCAAACAGCTAATACCAACTAACACAGCCTAATACCGAAAGGTGAAAGATGTGGCCTAAGATAATTCCAAGGTGTAAACAGTAGGTAGCACTGGAAACTTCATTTGTTGTCACGCGCGCACGTGACCTTCACTGATGTTGCCGGATTGCACTACTAAATGTTGGGGCGATTCCCTTCTGCCTTGGTGTTCCAGTGTATAGCCTTTGTAAACGGTCGATAGCGAAGGACGGTAAGCAGTTTCAAGGTATTACTTACAACAGCAAGGGAGATTTGATTAGAAACACACTGCCAACAAAAAGGAGACTGGAATGGCCAATTCTGGCTTAATAGTCTGCATCAGCCAGTCAACCTCAGGTGTTCCAACCCCTGAGGCTTGAACCAGTGATCTGGTGGTTAGACGTCTAACGCTCTAAACATTAAGCCATGAGCTCTTTCTCCTGCCTGTTACGGTCAGGTATATTAAAACTGGTAGCAGGGCGCTCGCAGACTTGGATTAGTTATTTCTGACTTCTTTACCGTAATCACCCAACTCAGCGCCTGGACACCTTGGTCATCGACCTGCTTCCAATTAAATCACCTACCGCCCAAGTCTCGGGCACAGGGCCTGTTGTTTGCTGTCGGATACAGTCAAAACGACTGGGAACGTCGGGCATCGACCAGCCTGTGTTGCTTACGGGACGGAATACTGTGGATTCCGTTTAGTTTTCGGCATTTTCCCCCTACAGAATTGATATACTGGAAAACACCCAGAGTGTATTCACTGCACAACTTTCAGCGTTTGTCTCTCTCTCTCTCCCATCCCTTCGCCCAATTCCACCCGACTTCGTAGTAGGCGTGTCTAGTAAGTTTGACAGGCACGTTCCAAGTCAAAAACAGATAGCAACACGTACAAAAAAAAACAAGCGCCGTCGCCGTCGTGGTCGTCCACGGAGGGTCCGGTGAAAGGCACTTCCTACGGCACGCACAAAGGAAATTCCCCGCCACTTTCGCACAGGAACCAAGGGGCATCATTGTAGGGTATTGGTTGGGTACGTGATACAGCCGCACTTGCTGAAGTTTGCCCTCATGCAATTCCAGTCAGACTGGCGTTTAACATTGCACCACTGAGAGCGAATTTGTTTGCGTTTATCGTTCAGTGTGGTGTAGTGTAGTGTGTGGACAGCGCACACGGATTGGACAGTTTTGTTCTAGCCACACGAATGGGTGAGCGCTGGACCAGCCTTCTGCAGCAGCCCAGGAAGCGCTCGAGACTCGTTTATATCGGCCGGTACTCGCAGAGAAACATCAATGTAGCACAAGTTACACAGAGAGCAGATGATTGAAAGTGAACAGACCGTTGTCCCCATGTAAAATTACACGTACTCCCGAAGGGCAAAATATAGAAACGTCAGTTATGGTCCCCGGAAGCGAGAACCGCCCGTAATACGGATGGTTCTACGCTAAATTCCGGGGAAAGTAAGGTTTATGTTAAGGTTATTGTGACATTCATCATATTTATGTGATATTCGGGTTTTTATTTGCCACTAGCTGCGTGTTAGGAACCCGATTTGGCCGAAACATGTGTCCTTAAGCCCGCTTAGTCATCAACCGATGCCCCATGCCCCTTGACCTCGTTTACTGCCTTCCCATCCGTTGACTCCCCTCCTTATTTGTTTCCCCGCTCCGTATCCTTATTAACTTATAAACTGACAGCTATGCGTCTGCATAATTCACACGACTGCACTTCTAAACATGTCGAATGTATGTCCACCCTCTTTTCGATTTCTACCTCGCGGTTGTTACCTATCGTGCACTGTTAATCTTAATGTGCATTTCTGTAGAACCACACAAAAAAAATATCTGAGTTAATTCGACTGACTTTTGACATAACTTCTGACCTCGGGTGCGTTTATTCAGGTGACAAAACTAGCACTGAACTACGCAAGGATAAACAATATTAACAAAGTTATTCGAGCATGACTGAGCTAATCGGGCAAGACAGTTCTCCGGAATTGTCGGTGCACTCGCCAGCTGATTCATCAACCGCTATTGAAAAAAAAAGTGGTCAAAAACTTGAAATAGAGCTTGCCAAAATATGCCTACTAGAAGTCGAAAGACGTATTGAGTTGGAACAATTGGAGCTTTTGAAGACTCGCCCACTCTAATTGCGCGAATGTGGTCTTTGAAAATCCTCGCTCACTCACTATCTCCCTCTCTCAGCTTCAAACTAGGGACGAGTGCATTCTGCGGAGCACTTAGTCTGCACGCACATGTTCCTCCACTTTTCTTTCAGAAATACCCTGTGAACACAACTGCGCAGTTGTGTTTGAATAACAGTCCACTGGTGGAAGGGCATAAATCTGGAGCGATGGACCACGTTCAACAACCGCACCTGTGTTGTTGGTGAGTCACCAACGGCCCAACCACCAATCGCTGTTCACCAATAAGTGTCCAACCAGACACACCATTATCTCTCATAAGTGCCACAGCACCAACGGGACTGAAGACTTAAAGGTAGGTGGGCTGTGTCCTTTCTGTTTTCTTGAGACTAGGTTTGTGGGCATGTAGAACTGAACGACTACTGTTCACCAACCCAGCGCCTCGTATATGGGTGACAACAACGGTGCCACGGAAACTGGTCTAGGCCTGCCTTTTGGTGGTGACATCTACATTGGCTGTCACACCACACTGGCACGGGTTGGCAACAGGAGTCTACGTGCCTGTCCTCATGAGGCCGTGAAAACAACCTTTTTGCGTCCACTGCATACCAACGGTGAACGAAGCACAATGGTTAATCCACAGTCTCCAATTTTAAAAGGGCTTAAGGAACTCCACTGCACTTTTACGGTCGATGAACCTTCTGACACGGATGTGTGAATATGACTTCGCCCTCCCCTATACGAACTGCTGGATGTGGATCCTGCGAAAATTGGGAGCTGAGAAATTCAAATAAGCTAAAAATACAGATTTTCCGCCTCCCTCCTCGGTAAACTTGGTTAAAAGGTCACAAATGCACATATATTTTGGGGGCATAGTGACGCCCCCCGAGTCCCAGGTTCAAAAACGTCCCCATTTCCTGCTTGAATGAACAATGTTTTCCAAGTCATACTACGCAAAATGCTCTGGGCAACGCCCAAGTATTATGTAGTCACTGACAACTGAACCCATACTGATGAGAAAACTTCC